ATACCCCGCAGAGGAAGTGGGGTGAATGTTTGAATACAAAACTTGGCCCAAGTGTGCGTTTAAGAGCCCTTTTCTCCATTAAACCCGCGCACATCGATGTCTCCACACCTGTGCGTAAATCACCTCGCAAGTCTAGAGACTTAACCTGTTAAAGACGCTCCTTCACACCCACCCCACAACCCCAAGTATATAGTATATATTATTATGTTATATACATAGCCTGAGCGTCTTAATTACAAACGCACGTTTTCAGTTTTTGAAGCTTTGTCTACTATATAATCTATATTCTATATTATCATGTAAATTGTATAAGCAAACTACCTATCATGTTATTTCATTGTTCCGCACCAGTGTTAATAAATATTTTATTAGTTGTATGCAAACAACATTGCGTAATTAGAGCTGCAATATTTTTAAGATTGAAAGTATTTAATATAAATATAATTTTAAAAAAAAAATGTCGAATAAACTAATAACTATATATTATAATATGATTTATAAACTTTCAAAATATCATTGAATGATAAATGATAATAATATTATAACAAATCGTATAACGAATATAATGTACATTTTATTTTGTACTTCCATTCTGTAATTGGATTAGTAAACATTTGTTTTCTAGCATGTATTTTCTGGTAGTTATAGTCATACTTACATTGAAGAAACCAATAGGTGTTATATAATTCATATTACATATTATTGAACATTATAATATAAGACATATTCATACATATGTTGTATAATAGAAAGTAGTAACATAAATTTGAATCATTTTATGATTATATAACATTATAACTTAGCACTTAGTAATTTGTATGCTAAACGCCTAAACCAAATATTGAAAATTATTGAACAAGAAGCAAAAATTATTCAATCATTGAAATTTTAAGCCAGCATAAACTAAAATTAATTTAGTAAACATATTTTAATAATTTTAATGAAATCCTAAATTATATTAATTATTCAAAAAGATCATTCAATAGTCTGTTGTTATTATAATATTATTACCGTAAAAATATTTCAGGGGATTATATTGTGGAATATAATAGTATATAATAACCTATAATCTAATCTAGATATAGTTATCGCGTATGTATTTAAGGGTATCTAAGCTGTAATATTTATCTAACACCTACATTATAGGTACAAGGTATCTATAAAATAAAACAATAATACATAATATGAAATAAAAATAAATACTTAATACCTAGAAAATTTTTTTATTCTTTTAACTACATTTGGAAACAGTAACAATTTTTTTATACCAATATATTATATCCTCTTTTTAATTTTAATTTGAAATAATGATACGTATACAAAGTATACATTATATATTTATGTACATATTGTTCTTATAAATATTAATTTAAAGAATGATTTATAATCAGTTTGTTTATTATTTCATTTGTGATTTGTATAGGTGTGGAAATATTTCATTTCATTTTTTTTTAAAACAAACTACATTATTACAATGGTAGGTAGTGTGTTCAATATTATATTATTGTGTACTAAACACTCTATATACCCATAATACATTGACATAATTCGACAATAATTGTGAGTAATAAAATAATTCGTATGAAATACACATATAACAAGTGTATATGTTTATTGTATACTGGTAGGTGTATGTCTTACCCAGTATTGTATTTAAGGGTGGTTGGGGGTTTCCAAGTTCAGTCACTAAAGTAAATTTATTATATTCATAAACATTTTCTTGCACTTGTACATAAAAAAAATACTAAATACCTAATACATTTTTTTTCAGGAATATTTATTATCACGATTTAGATAAAGTAGGACAAGTGGGTACCAATGTTAAGAAAATGAAAAATATGATATACATAAAATAGTTTTAGATTATAATATTATATGAATGAGATGGATGGAGTATTATTAGCTGCGGTGCATTAATAATTGTAGTGACTATTAATTATTTTTTTATTGTTTTATTTTGTCTCATAAAATTATTATTCCATATAATCCACAGATTCTGCTCATAAAAGTATATGGCACAATGTATTACCTACAGCTATACCACATGAACAAATATAGGTAATATTTTATCAATCTTTACAAAATATACATTAATGATTAACACCCATATTAAAAATGTATACTTTGTAACTTTGGCATTGTTGGAATACTTAATACACTCTTTGAATACGATATGATGTGTGTATAATTTCAAAATATCCAAAGCGTATTTTTGGCTTAACGTCTGCACGAAACCAAGATAAACTCGTAGAGCATTCAATCTTTCAAATTGTCCAATTTACGGGAAACGAATTACGTATATATATACCAGCTACCTACAGTGTAGTACACGAACAAAAAGTTGGCAAACACTGCGGCAATCGTCTTTTATAAAGGATAACCACGTGTCCTTATTGAAACAACGCGCTATACAGAAGCGAATCCCAGGAGGAGAAATAAAAAAACACGTGCACACATCCAGGATAAGTCGTTAAAGAAGGGAAAATAATGATATATATATGTACTCATGTATACATATTGCACATATATATGTCTACTATACGGCAGCAAGTATTAATAATTTAACAACACTTTGATCGTTGTTCAATACATGTATATATAAGGCTTATGGGAAGTATTTTTTTTCAATTTCGTTCCTCGAGTCTATTATCTTCGAAACAATTTTTTCATCGCCTTAATAATTCACAATATATTATGCTTTACTCCACACCGTCCTCCCCCGTCTGGGCGCTGAACAAACATAATATTTTGTAGTTGCAGCAGTTGCAACAGGGCACCGAAGGGTTACAGCAGCGGCGATACACACCGCGGGCGCCATTCATCACATAATAGCTTCAGCTCGATTAAAATTTCACTACGTACTAAATCGGTTTCTTGTTTACATTCCACGCTCTCTCTCTCTCTATCTATCTGTATATATATGTACAAATATGAGTACCTATATTATATAGATACACATTCACGAACAAACACACACGTGTACAGACACGCTCATACGTCCATATTATATATTATATATTATAGACCCTTATTAATTTAATGAACTGTCCGGCGCATAGGATAAATGAGAAAAAAATTCTTGCTGTTTTCTATAATATATATAATATATATATAATTTACGCTGGACTTACAACTTTTGTAGCTGTGTGTTATGTCATATATAAGATCGTTCTGTGTAATGAGCTCGTGCCGTACCCCTATTATCCGTATAGGCTATATACTTTCCTTCGACCATAGTTATATAGTTCTTAATTCGCGGGCTGGCGGGCTGGCGGGGTGTGTCTTTGTTTGTGTTTTCCGAGCATACGTGACCAGAATTTCACCTGCTGCCGCACATGGCACATCCCTTTTATAATTTGTTTACCGACACCAGTAGAAGAAACAAAATCGGTCGTCCGGAACAAGAACAATAACAACCATTTAACTGATCGTCACGCGCATTCGTAACAACCCCGAACTTTCTGCAAGTAAAATTAAATTAAATTACGAGTGCAAAAGTGTTTTTTTTTTTCTAGGAACCTATAATGCACTGGATTTTAAGTCAATACCGCAGCAAGGTATACAATATAATATATCATTAAAATATGGCATGGTTTGCCAGTTTTATGTATTTCAACGAAATGTAGCTAGTTTGTACTACTTACATTATAAAATGTATTATTATGTTAAAATATCGAGTATAGTATACCCACATTCACCTATTTCGTACACTAAAAACCTTCCATTGGTTTTATGAAGTCTCATATACAGGGCATAGATAAATATTTTACTTGGAGAACAACGTTACTCATTTGGGACTAACATATACTTTTCATGAAACTTTGGTAAAATATACACCGAAAGGTATTATTATAGACCCTTGAGTTATATATAAGTACTTTAACTGTTAAATTATAATTAAAATTAATGCGCAAACTAACAACAAATTTCAGGATAAAATATTTTTGGCTTAGGTAACTATATACTGATTACATTAATGTGAATTTGAACTCATGGTGAAAAAACTGTTACTGAAGTTAACAATTAAATAATTAAACATTTTATGAATAATCATTGTTGATTAAACATAGTCGATAGTCAAAATATACATTTATATTATGTTGAATAATACACTCAATACTGTTATACACTTATACTAGATATATGATATATATATATATATCTAAACACAAACATAAAGATGTTGAGGGACAATTATTAGGAAATTAGATAAATAAATCCATCAATATCTGAGTATTTGGGATGATAAATAATGTGTTCTACCCATACAAAATAAACTCTTAAATCTTGAAGCGCGTTTTTCGTAGGTACTTACCACATATTATTTACACTGGCAACCAGAAGTGCACCACCATCGTCGACCGAGTGATGTGTAATGCGAATGTGCCAAAAAACGTGTTTAGGTGCCGTCCTTCTTTCCCCGCCAGTCATAGGTTTGACAAACCGTTTTTTCGTTGTCACCAGCGAGTATGACGAATATTCCCTGCAGAAAAACGCAAGAATAATATCCATCATAAAAAGTAATTTTATACACAACTTAGAAAGTATAGAAATGATTAAATTTATATCAATTCAATGTTTAAACGTAGATGTATGGTAAAAGTTAAGACTTGGATTATTGTGAAAATTAAATAAAAATTGTATTATAATATTACACTCAAATATTCAATACATGACACCCGGACGTGTATAAATACATTTTTAAAAAAGTAATAATTATAAACGCAAACGAATTCAGTGTTCACATACATAAGTGTGTGATCAGTGTTCACCCTTCCCTCCAAATACCTTTTATGTTTGCGCCTTGTATATCAGTAATCGTAAATCGGAATAATATGCCAGTTTTTACCTAAATGCACTATATTATTATTATTCAAGAAAAATTTTACTTTGAAATTTCGCTCGTTTTCTTACGAAAATTTGTGCTGGCCTGTGTGGTAACACTGATTTCATAGCAATGGCAAGCTTATCACAGCCCCGGCCGGACCATATTCACGTGTGATAAACAACGTTATTATTTGTAACTGATAAAATTCATAAAATCTTGTATTTTCGTTTGTAATTCTCAAAACCAGTATATTATCGTAAAATTGCTTTTTTTGCTATACGTCCTGACTCGCGCTTTCGAAATGCCTTCCATCACAGACATGCTAAACTTGAATAAACTGGACATGTTCCAGACAATGAGGAAGATATTAGAAACTGATGGCTCAAACACCGTCCGAAATCTAATAGCGTACAAAGACCAAATATTGTATATTTGGAATTCCGACGAATGCTGTTTGTACTCGCTACTGTTGAACACAGTTCACGAAGAACAACCTTCATACCAAGTAAGAAATTTATATTATTAATTTTGTTTAATTTATCCTATTGTAGGTTGTGCGTATCACTTTATGTCCGCTAAATAGTTGTTTTGTCAACGTTTATTATTTTCCATTACATCATGCCTCAAAACTACTTTTTGTACGACACGTCTAAAACATCCATATTAAATAGATATAGACTTATAGTTTAACTATCGTAATACAATTTTTTTTGTTAAAAAATACAGTAAACTTTGTTTTAATCCAATATATTAATATGTTTATGGTTTCTACTGTCAATGTATTTTGTTTTATTTTTTTATGTATGCTGGACATTAAAAATGTTAAATCACAACATATTAATAATTCAAAAAACGTATTGTAGTCGAGTTTAACCAATGCACGTTTGTTATATACGACAACAAAGTAGGTTCTAAGATGAACCTTCCATACCTACCGCTTTATGGTAGGTACTCGGTTGTTTGCTTTAAATTATAACATTTATTATTTTATTTGGTACATCATTGTGTCAGTATTTAATGACCTATTTGGTCACTAATCAATAATATAGATATAGATATTTAAACTTATAAGCATTTTATTTTTATACTCAAAATTATCTAGGCTTTGTTTAAATACATGTAATAACAGATATGATAAAATAATGTTCTCATAACTTTTGGAAATCTTTTTAATCACTTAACAAAATTGATTATTTGAATAATAGGTGGATACTTCACATATTTTATGTCTTAATATTTTACATTTTATTATTAATCTTTCATATACTTTCAAATAGTTAGTAATCTTTTTTCAGTTTGTTATTACACAGATCATTAATTACACTAAATTGACATTTTGTGTTGTTTCAAATTATAATACTTACCTAGATTATAAAATATAATGTGGACAATACAAGGTGTTATAGTAAATATAGTACGGTACAACTATACCTATTTCTTATTGTAAGTTAATTTACTTGATAGTATTAGCAATAAAACACCTACATTCCAATGTATAATAATTGCATTGTACAATCATAGATTAGTTTTAGGAATATCATAAAAATAAAGTTATAATTATTGTTTTATATTATAATTGTATACTTATATGTCAGGAGTTTTCGATCAGTGCGTAGTGTCTCCCAAGGGCGTTACTAGTTGTTACCATTCCCAAAGATGCCACAGTAATCTGCAGTGGGAAATGAAACAAAAATTTGTACATTTTATTATTGTCTTTATTTGTATGGAAGCCGTTAAAATTGTTTTCAAAATTGGAACAGTGGTGGACACAGAAAGATTAAAAACCCCTGCTATAAGTTGTAAATTTCAAGACATTAGGTATTATTGTTTTTTATTCACATGTACCTAATTCCAAATTCAATTTTTACTTTTTTCAGAATACCTAATAATTTGATTATATAGATGTTAATTAGTAGTTTTAATTCAAATTGAATTTCTTTCAAAACATTTAAGCTAGGGATTTGATTGAACTTAATTTGTATCATATGACTAGGTGAAACATATGTATAGGCGTCATTGATTGGTATGGTAAATCAGTACATGCTTGATCTTGATAGACTATCCTTTTTATTATTATTTAATGACATGCTTAATCTGAGTAAAATAAAATATAGAATTCATTGTTGAAACAAAAATATTTTTCCTACCTACATAAGTTTGACTGCATTATAATCTTAAATGTACTATTTTTGAGGGTTGCATAAGTGATCACTTAACATTTAATGAATCAATAGTGCTTATGAGTTATGGTTTTTTAAATACGTTTTAGTGGTCCACAATTATTGTTCCATTCAATTTTTGTGAACCATTAAATTAATTTATGTTATCCCAATAAATAAAATATATAGGGACATGATGAATAGAAATATGAATGGTTACCTAAGCCTGTACCTTAGTAAAAGTATAATTGCTAGGCATATATTGTAGGTAGGTACATTTTTTATTGTAAATATTAAACACACAATGCCCACATTTATATTATACTAAACAATATTAAATTATGATTTTACATGATTTTATTTTGCAAATAGGTACTTATATTTAATTTTTTAATTTAATAAAGGTAAAATGTATTGGTAATATCATCATTTTAAAATGTATTCTAAATTTGATTGATTTAATGCAAAATAATATGTAGTTGATAATTTAAAAACAAAATTTCCTTTTAAACTCAAAAGTGTACTTGAGTTTAAATGTAAAGTGCACATGTAAATATTTAATTTACAATTAATGTAAATACACGAAACATTTGCTGCACTTAATTTGATGAAACTAATGATTTTTTTAAATTATTGAATCCTCAAACAAATCTGAAATAACGGTGGGCTTAAAAAAATATCTTCAATCACATTAGATTGCACCTTTTAGGAAAACCAGCATAATTTTCTAATAAAATCTGAGCACATCCCCTACTGACTTCGGTCGTGTTGTGTATACAATATATAAATATATTATATACGTATATATAATTCTACGTTTAGTAACAATAATAATAATATCCATTAATTTGCAAATTTACAGTGCCGCCGGTTGTTCCGCTTGCAGACCCCTGCCGCTACAGTGTCGCGGCACTATACGATAGAGGTAGAGGGGGCAACAGGGACATTCTTCGCAAAAGTACCATTTGGCGTTGATTCCTCTGCCGTTTTTCCTCGGTTTCCGTTTAGCGGCCATAAATCGGCATGAAATATAAGTTCCTATTCGGAATCGCGCAATATAAACACGAGCCGTTAACACAAACGCGAGTGCGGGGACGATGACTATATACGCGTCTTCTCTCCCCCCTCTCCCGCTTACCTCCGACCGTGCTACGGTGTGTGCCACCACTTCACAGGACTAAGGGGTTTTACTTAACAATTATCATAAATATAAACAGGCCCGAACTTCCCTCGGCGACAACTACTACCACCACCACTATTACTACTCTGACTACTACTACAACTACTACGACGACGACCAAAGATGTGGTTTATCTTTTGAGGCCATTGTTGAGTTTATGTATGTATGTGTGTGTGTGTGTGTCTGAGTGGAGCGTAGGAAAAATGGAATAATAAATTGCCATTATCGCTCCCGATTGTTCCTTATATTATATTATGTGTAATTATGTATATAAGTCCGCGGCCGCGGGTGTTTCTTCTTCGCGTCTCATCCTTTTCCTTTTCCTGTCGGCCGCCGCCACCGTCGTCGTGGTTGGGGTAAACCGCTAGCGGCAATGTCGTAGGGAAACGTCTTCGTCCGGCTGTTGAATTATCGTTTATTACAATCCTCTTCTTATTATTCGGTGGCGTGGTTTGTCTTCCCTCTCGCACCTCCCGCGCTTACTTGTCGTCATCCTCTCGACCAAAGCACAGACCTCATGCACGCAAAACGGCTCTATTAATGCTAATACACACCCCCGTGGAAGAAGCGGACTCAGTTCGCACAATGGTATTTCATGAAAACGTCGCTGCCCGCCCAACAACTGCAATTGTTCTTTTGGATGCTCCTTTCTACCATCACCCCACCCCCCTGTCCATCGTGACGATCCTGTATTTCCTACTCCGGCATACTAATATCGTTTATGTTTCAACATTTGCTGAGCTCGAGCGATTTTTAGCACAATAGTGGGTACACCATCATAATATTGTAATACAGAAAATTCACGGTCGTACAAAGTAGACTTCTCGAATTATAAATTATTAGTCATCTCTGCAGTTAATCAGACATTCATTTAAATCATCTATATTGTGTCTTTATTGTTTACGAGATTTTTTACTCAACACATTGAATGTTACATATCGCCTTGTATCTATAGAATTCTTAGCCACTTTTATTAGATTATTAGACATTATTGAGATACACACACACACACACACACAAATAATCAACGTAATCATTTTTTATTTTATTTAAATCATGAAATTAAAAATGTAGTACTTGCCTTCTTTAAAAAAAAATTACTACCCTCAATTATTTGTATTATTTATTTATATTTTAGAAACGAGTTTATTATTTATAACTTAGAAGTTGCGCAGCTTAGTACTTATTTATTATGAAATATTTTTTTTTATTTACCTTTTTATATGTAAAGTGATGTCGTTCTTAAAAAAATGTTAAAAGTCTACATTAAAAAGTTTTAAAAATATTGACGAACCACTTTATATTTAACTGTAGTCCGATTGAATATTTTATTGATACCTACTTATTAAGAGATATCAAATTTATTTACTACTATATTATAAAAAAAATCAAGTAAATACATAAATTTATTGTACGAGTAGACTACATATTTTAATATACCTAACAAATGTTACTATCATCGTCGAGCTTTTTGAACACATTTGCAAAATTAACTACGAGTTTTGAGGCTACTGTGATACTGATTTATTATTTAATCCACACGTATACTATACACAGTACCTATAAAAAATTACATAATCTATTAGATATCGAAGAGAATGATGAATCGAGGTTGGAAAATTAAACATCTAAATTACTTTTTCATTATTATGTATTGATGTAGTTATATCAATTTTAAAAGTAAATGTTTGCATGGCAATTATTTTATCGAATCGTATTTAATATTTATACGTTTATAATGTATGGATGCATAAATATTTAGAGAGAGTAACTATTTTCGTGTACCCATATAAAATAATATGTTCGATCGTAACTCAGTATGCTCATATCTAGATGATATTATTATTATACTATATTATAATATACTAGAAACTAGAAAGATTCATAGGTCTTGCCGTATTGGCACTGCTAAATGTAAATTCAAATTCAACAAACAATCAAAGAACCCATCACTATATAAAATGTTGGTTGGATTGAAAATAATATTATTCTGAATATCTATTATACGCGCATTCACGGATCATCATAGTTTTCGATCCATTTGGTCTACCGTACTAAAAACCAAAGTCTTTAAATTTACACGCTACATTAGTGTCTCGTATCCACTTTCTCCCTTCCTCTGTAGTCCTTTTATTGTTATTTTAATCCTGAGTGCTATTTCAGAGA